TTTTTTTAAAGATTTTATTTATTTATTTGACAGAGACACAGCGAGAGAGGGAACACAAGCAGGGGGAGTGGGAGAGGGAGAAGCAGGCTTCCCACCGAGCAGGGAGCCTGATGCAGGGCTTGATCCCAGGACTCTGGGATCATGACCTGAGCCGAAGGCAGACGCTTAACGACTGAGCCACCCGGGCGCCCCAAGGAGTGGCAGTTTATTGAGACACGCTGTACCTCATGCTGGGGTGGCTGGGACAGTAGGCGGAGGGTGGTTTCTGCTAAGCTGCGACCAAATGAAACAGAGCGGCGAACACCTGAGAGGTTTCACGACCCACTGACGCAGCCAGATATGGGGCAGAGTCTTAAGAGAATTTGCGAATTCACCGTGTGTGCTCTTTGATAATCACTTGCATCGCAATAGTGTTTGTCACTGCTGTATTATCCGTGGAGTAAGTGAGATGAACTGATGCGATGATCCAGATCATTCTAGGTCCTATCATGAAAAACCTTAAACAACAACAACAACTAACTTCCCACCTGCTGAGAAAAACTTTTAAAATAAAAATGGTACTAACTGGCTGTGTCTAGGCAACTGTTTTGTACCAGCCAGTTGCTTCATTCATTCATTCATTCATTCATTCATTCATTCATTCACTAGGAGGACCTACTACGTGACAGGCACAGTGTACCAGCACTGAGGTACTAAGCGTGCCTCCTGCCTTGGGGGAGCAGACGCTTTGCTGGAGTGGAAATGTCTCCTCCACCATGACAAAATCAGCACTGGGATGTGAATTAGGGTGGCCTCTGGTCTCGAGAGCAGAGTTCCTGGCATCTCAGCCTCACCTGTGAGGTTGGTTCTAGAATCAGGGAAGCAGCCCCAACTCCTACTTTCTTTCATTTTTTACTTCCCTCAGCCTACACCACAGGACGGCGAAGGCCCCTCCCTTTTGCCGCAAGGGGTCAGAACAACGGGAAAGATGTCACCTCAGATCTGACATATACAAAACTTTCTTCCAGCCAGGAAAGACTCAGTTGCTTTTTTTTTTTTTTTTTTTCTCGAAGGGAAGAGAGTTGGTATTGCCCTTGTCCTGTTTAGACTCTGAAATCCTAAATTGATCCCTATGAAAATTCTGGGTTTGGGAGCCCAAGGAGATTGTTTCTCATTAGTGACATTCTTCCTGGAAGGTCAGGCTAAGGAATGGTAAATAAACCTTCAGATCCAGTGCTTCCTCCTCACCCATGATATTTAAAAGAAAGAAAGAAGGGGGCGGGGAGCTTTGTGCTGTGGAGACCCAGAATCCTGGGCTGACAATCCAAGCTGCAGTCTGGGCTTTGGGGTGAAATTTCTGAGACATTAGGGAGCTATTTTTTCGCTTCTGTTAATTTGATCTGTTTCCTTGGGACAGCCACTCAACCTGTCCGTACCTCAATTTCTCCCCTGGAAAGCGAGAGGAATGATTTTGTAGTTCAGCTTTGATGGAATGAACAAAACAGTGTTTAGACAGATGTTTCTTGAGCCTGCCTCCACCCTGAACCTATATTTCTCTGCTTACGCTCTCTGCCCACCACCCTGGGGTCGGGCTGGGATGGGGGCAGTGAACAGCGAGGTGGGGCTGTGTCTGGGATGTGTCCTGAGTGCCTGGTCTGGCCTGATGCCTGTCTTACTGCCTTTGTGTGAAGGTAAACGGGTTCTGAGGCAAATGCCAACGCAGACCAGCAGAAGTCATTTTGTGGGAGAGTTTCTGGTGAACTCATTCTTGGTGTAAAACAGAAGGAGGCAGGTTTGGACTTCTTGGTAATTCTAATAC